GCCTCTGTGCCAAGGACAGTTTGTGTGGGCAGCTGCTGTGAATAAACGTGCGTGTGCACGCTGCTCTGTGGGCTTTGGGCTGCAGCACCCGCGAGATTTAAACACATTTGACCCATTTTTTTCCTCAGGTTTGCACAGGGGACAGCACAGAAAAGCCAAAGCACCTCGGCAGCTCTAAGTCATTTGTGATTTTTGTGATTTGTCCTGTCCTGGGTAGGACCTCACTGCCATGGGAGGGGCAGAGTTACACCTTCAGCCTGCTGTGGGTGTGGTGGGAGAGCTTGTCACAGGTGCTGCTGGCATGCTTCAGAATCCCAGAACAGCCTGGACTGGAAAAGCTCTTTAAGCTCATCGAGTCCAACCATGAACCCAACACTGACCAGTCCCCTATGACTAACCCATGTCCCTCAGCACTGTGTCTACACGACTCTTCAATCCCTCCAGGGATGGGGACTCCACCACTGCCCTGGGCAACCCCTTCCAATGCCTCAGAACCCTTTCAGCAAAGAAATTCTTCCTCACATCCCATCTCAACTGCCCTGGCCACAACTGGAGCCCATTTCCTCTTGTCCTGTCCCTTGGTCCTTGGTTGAACAGACCCACCCCCACCTCTCTCCACCCTCCTCCAAGGGAGTTGCAGTCTCTGGCCACTCCTCCCCAAAAGTCAGCCTACAGACCTGGCCTGTCTGGGTCTGTCCCTGGAGAGGAGAGCCCGATATTCCTGTGATCCAGCTGGCAAGGCCTTCTCCCCATCAACACCAAGGGAGGATTCACCTGACGTTGTGTGGGCAGTTCCTGGCTGCTCTTAGGCAAGACCATGAGACCCTGCAGTCGTCTTCCCAAGCAGAACCCAAGGTAAGTGAGTTGACACCGTGGGCTGGGTGCAGGTTTAACAGTGACGATGGGGTAAGGTTATTCGCACCCAGAGCCACAGACTCAGCAGCTCAAGGCCCCAGAGGAGGGGCTGTGCCTACCCACTGACCAGCCTTACTTCGGTCTGTGGAGAAAGACGTCAGCAAAGATCAGCTCTCTTGGGTTTCTTGTACTCTGGCGGAGTGTCTGGATGCTTCTCTTCAGCTCACCAATCTCCTCTTCCAGGTCCTTAATAATCTGAATGAATGACATTTCTAAGAGTTTGTCACTTTGCAAGAGAAGCAGGAATTAAAGTTTTAGAGCTTTTGTGAAGAGCAGAGCCAGAAAACATCCCTCGTGCAAGTACGTTCCTAACGAGCTTCCTGAAATACCTGCTCGTCCTCGGGGTGTCTGACTCCAGTGGGCACGGAAGGGAACGTACCCCACTGAGGGGGTACCCCAAATCCTCACCAAGGGCCAGGGCTGAGGGTGGCTGGCTCTGCTGGTCCCTCCCCAGCCTGCTCACCTCCCTCTGCCTCAGGATTTCACGTCGCAGGACATGATTGTTTATAACCATCTGCTTCAGGCCATCCTGGTGCAGCAACATCTCCTGTGTGGGTGGAAAGAAGAAAAGCAGCTGAAGAAACTCCACAGTAACCACCAGCACGACGCTGCCAGTGCCAGGTGCCAACGCTGGCCGTGTCCAGATGCGTCACTCTCCAAAGAAATACTTTCTGCTCAAATAAGATTTAGGTTCCAGCTCTAGAAAGAGATCACGTTGTGCTGATTGTGGAACAAGACTGAGGAACTTCAGAGATCCAGTTCAGTTTGCCAGGGAAAGCTTATTAATATTGCTTAATATTCACCTGCAAAAGGGCACAGCAGTTCTACATCAGAGCAGGCTATAAACGGAGCCAGTAATTAATATTTGCTTAGTGCCCTCAAGCTGTTAACCCAGGGACAGTGCTGAGCACATCGTGTGGGCAGGAACCGTGCAACAGGAGTTCCTCCTGTTTTGGGAAGAACAGCAGCAGTCCCTGCTCTGTAGTGCTGAACAGTTTAATTTCCTCATGAGCTGATTACAAACCCGGCTGCCACGGCGCTGTCACAGCAAATCAGCGGGGCAGCTACCTCAACAATGGCAGGAATCAAGGACTGCAAACGCAGGGTGAACGTTGGATCACAGAGCACTCACCTCCACCAGCAAACCCCCAGGAGCCTGAGGATACTTCAACACATCAGACCACAGCAGCAGCTCCAAAGCGCTTCTCAGATACCCTCCCAGCCTGACCAGCACCTCCAGTACAGCACCAGGAGGGGAGCAGCGATGCTCTGGTGCTCTTTGGGTGCTGGCTGCACCCTGGTATTGCTAACGGGCAAAGTGGGGCAGCTCCTGCCTTGTCTCCCAGCTCCCAGCAACTCATTTCCCTTGCTGGGGCGTCACACAAACTCCACGAACCTCCAGGACTTTCTGTAACAGCGCCTCTTGTTCCACCCGTGTCTTCTCCTCCAGCTCCTCCAAGACAGCCTTCCCCATGTCTTCTGCCTTGTCTCTCTCCTCCTGAGAAGGGCAGGAAGCAGTGCACAGAAACAACAGGAGCGTTAGGCAAGACAGCTATTGCACTCCCTCCTCCCCTGCCCTCTCCTTCCTCCCTGGCAAGGCTGCAGGGAGAAGAGGTCTCAGCACCTGCTGCTGCTCCTTCAGGTTCTGGATGCTGCGCTGCAGAAGGTCTATCTGGGCAGCTTGTTCCAGATATTGCCCGTCGTTGATGTAGGTTTGCAGGACACTGAGCTCATCCTGGAGAACTTGTACCTTTGATGTGACTTCATCCAGCTGCTGCTGTAGCTCTGGTTGAAAGTCAAAACAGAAAATCTCAACCCAAGGGGTTCCAGAGCTTCACAGCATCCCAGAATGGCCTGGACTGGAAAAGCCCTTTAAGCTCATCGAGTCCAACCATGAACCCAACACTGACCAGTCCCCGACTAACCCATGTCCCTCAGCACTGTGTCTACACGACTCTTCAATCCCTCCAGGGATGGGGACTCCACCACTGCCCTGGGCAACCCCTTCCAATGCCTCAGAACCCTTTCTGCAAAGAAATTCTTCCTCACATCCCATCTCAACTGCCCTGGCCACAACTGGAGCCCATTTCCTCTTGTCCTGTCCCTTGGTCCTTGGCAGAAGAGTTAAGGAGTCCTGCATTAGCCTGAGCTTTTCTCTCTACAGAGATTACACACCCCGTGGGATGTGGGAACAGTCACCCCGAGTCAGGCCACATGGACCAGATCCTGCCCCAGGGAGATGTGCAAACAGCTGCCAAGGAGACGATTTCTCTGACCCCCCCAGCGGCGGCTGCTGCGTGTCATGGGGCTCCCTCCCCCCTGACAGGCTGACGGGAACATCAGCCCCGCAAAGCCAACGGGATTCATTATCATAAATGGAATTGTTTGACATTTATAACATCAACACAGTGTCTCTAACCTAACGAGATGGAAAGCAAAGGTAACACGGTTGTGCAGACTGCATGTGACAGAAATGTGAGCAACTCACTTCCCAGATTCTTTTCCCTTGTTTTTTCCAGTTCCTGGAGCTCTGCCCTTGCTGCATCCAGCTGGTTCTGATTGAAGATCTGCAGCATTGCCTCTGTTCTCTGCACAGGGAGAAACCGTCACTGCTCATTCCACAGAGCTCTGCAACGCCCCCTGCACCATCCCTGACCTTCCTCTCACGTGCTGTTGCATTAGCAGCACAGAGGAATCTGTCACCGTGGCTGGTGCCAGCTTGGGCACAGGAGATGCTCTGGGGAGCAAAGTGGAGCTTCAGGAGCCAGCTGGAGCCATCGTGGAGGGATGGATTTGGGCTGTTACAAGGGTGACTACTGTTGTTTGGGACAGTTACAGTCAGGGTGTTCTCAGGGCTTTAAAACATGGGCACAAAACAAGAGCATCTCACAGGATCAGAGAGCTCTCCCAGGACTGGGGACGCTCCAGTCACACTCGGTGGGTGCAGTGGAAGGGACTGGGCAGTGCCTGACCCTTCTCCAGAACTAACCTGTAATGGGCAGTTCTGCATTCCACTGGTTTGGGTCTGTTGGCCAACCCTAAAAACTCACCTGAAATACTTCATGCTGCTGCAGCAGGTCCCTGGCTTCCTTGGCAGTGCTGTCATCAGTGTGCTGGATGTCCTCCATCAGCCGGCGGTTGGTCTCTGCCAGGTGGGCACTGTGCTGCTTCAGCTTCTCAATGGCATTTTTCTTCAGATTGTTCAGGTGCTGCCGGAATTTGTGGATTCAAGTTGTGGGTTCCACCTGTCTCAAGTTTTCTTACCATCATCTGCCACCCCTGGGACATTCCTGTCCCATGGTAACAGCAGCCTCGCTGCTGAGGCACCCCGACTTCCCCACACAGCACACCCCGACTCCCACGTCCCTCACTGCGGGATCACCATCTCCTTCATAACCAGCTTTCACCTCCTGGAAAGCTGTGGTCACGTCCTCCACCTCAACCTGCTCTTTGCCAGACTGAGAGAATGTGATCCTGACAGTCACAGAATCACAGGATGTTGGGGATTGGAAGGGATCTCAAAAGATCATCCAGTCCAATCCCCCTGCCAGAGCAGG